TATTTTATTAACTTATCCGGACTCAAATCCTATTGCCTTAGGGTGGAAAAGAGGCTCTTTCATCTTCATAGACACTCACATGGGTGTCTCCCCCTTTCCCCAATCGATTCCTCAACATTTTTCCGTAACCACTGTACTATTTGGAGGACAAGGTGTAGACAAGGAGACAAAAATCGAGAGAAGGACAAAAAGGACGAGGCAAAGACATAGACTCTCTCCGCGCTCCTTCCCTCCCCCCCCCCTTTTCCACTCTTGATCCATAAAAAGAACGGGGAGACAAGAGGCGGGCCAAGATTATATTTTTATTATTTTGCTCTCTACATTCACAGCTCGGGACTCCCTCTTTTTCGTCTCACTCGACCCTCAACCGGCCACCACCATCCGACAACCTCTCTCCGACGTCCCCCCTCTCGTGACGCCTCTCTCCATTCCCCCATTCCCGGCGGTTTTCGGCATTCTCTCGTTTGTCTTTGTTTCGGTTTCCTCCAGCTCTTCAAAGGTGAGTCCTCACGGTTTCGGCTCGGGATAGTGAAACCTTAGACATGTTTATTTTTAGCCAGTCATCAGTCGCGCAAGCTAGTGGTATGTCTGTTGCATTTTTGTGAAATTTATGTAGAAAAAATTATGAACTTTCACTTATGCTTGAACCTATGTGTATTAGCCAAGGTGAAAGAGCAACCGGAGCTGTGTCTGCTGGAGGTGGTGCAAGCTGCTGTGGATGTGATGTAATTGGTGGAAGTGGAGGATACGATGGTGGAAGTGGAACCTGCTGTGGAGTAGATGGAAACAGAGCAGGCTGTGGAGCCTATAAAGGTTATGGATGCAATGAATGAAAATGAAACAATGGAAGTGAATGCGATGGCGGAACCTGCTGTCGATGGGATGGAAACAGGGGATGCCATGAAGCCTGTAGAGGCTGTGGATGGTGGAACCTACTGTGGATGGGATGGAAACAGGGGATGCCATGAAGCCCGTAAAGGCTGTGGAGACCAAGTTGGAAGAGCAACTTGACCTTGTTGTCTCTCTTCTCTGAGTTAATGCTTCGGTAGAGTTATGTTTGCTTTGAGTTGTCATGCTCTATCTGCAGGAGGTGATGGAGGCTGTGGAGCCTTTATCCCGAATAAAACCTGGAATTGATTTCTTGACTGGTCAGTGATGTTTAGGCAAATATTTCCCCTGGCAATCCCGTCAAGTGCTCTCTAATTCTTGCTACGCTATTCTTGTTGATGCTCTTTCTCACAGTGAGGACAGATCCATAGATCGTCCACAATCTCAACTTGATTCCACACTATATCCCTAACCATCTTGGTTATTTATCCTACAAGGAAAGAGAGCACAATTAAATAACACCAAACTTAGTCATTATTATTATTTTTTTAGTATTGTAATATTATTTTAATTTCAGATATGGGAGTCGGACCGGGCCACGGGTCGCAACCCGAAGGTGATCTATGCTGGGAGTGAAGGCTTCACTCTCACCATTTCATCTTCTTATCTCACCATACTAAGCCACCTATAGGCTACTTGTCACTCTAAAGAAGTGCATGATATAACGAGTGTCTTATTTAGAGTCAAGACACCTAGGTGTCTTTTAGCATGATAAAGCACTTATCTTATGGAGATGAAAACACATTTTTTTTCATATTAGTCATCTATTTTTCTTCCACTTGGCCATAGACTAAAGAAATTCTTGACACATGTAATTTTACCTTGAGGACAAACTTACACCAAGTATATTAACCTTGGTAATGCTGTAAGATTATTTTCTAACTCTAAACTTTTACACTCTTGAAGAAGTTTTCTCCATTTCCGATTTTTGGATTGAAAAACAAGAATTTTAAGGTAAGTTGAGCGACCTTATTATTAAAGTAGATTTGTTAAAGGACCAAAAATTGTTGATTTTGGTCGTTTTAATTTAAAAGTGGTTTAAGTTTTTGATCATTCAAATTTTCTTCAAGGTAAGTGATTTGTTTAAGGCTAGAGTCACTCATGTAACAAAAACTGGCATGGTTCGGCTTAGCTCAAGCATTACCTTAAAAATATTCTCTATATTCCCAAATTTGAGTTCAATCTCATATATGTTTCCAAAGTCTGTGTGGACAATTCCTGTCCCGCAAATTTCAATTCTGAAAATTGTTCCTTTCAGGACCTTTCGATTGAGAAACTAATGAGCTTAGGTAGAATGGCACAAGAACTCTATTTTTGGATAAGCTTCCCCAGAGATTTTGATTTATCTTCATTAAATAAAAGCATTTCATGTAATGCCACCACCAGTAATGAAATCTCTCTTTCACATTAGCGTTTGGGTCATAGTGCTCGTTTTCCTCATTCAAATTGTATGATCTGCCCCTTGGCAAAAGAATCACAAGCACCATTTCCAACTAGTATATCATGGGCTACTTGTGCTTTTTTCTTAATTCATATGGATATCTGGGGTCCCTATCGTACCCCACATCATGATAGATCTCGTTTCTTTCTTTTCTTACCATTGTGGATGATTACACCCGTGCCACTTGGGTCTTCTTCATGCAATCCAAAAGTTAAACCTTTTCTCATCTGTTGAAATTCTTGTCCATGATCAAAAATCAGTTTGATAAATCTATTCAAAGAATTGCACGGATAATGGACATGAATTTTTTTTTCCACTGAGTGTCGATCTTTTTTGTCCTCTCATGGAATACTTCATGAAAGCTCTTGCACGTGTACTCCTCAACAAAATGGGATTATTGAGCGCAAACATGGACATCTCCTATAAGTAGCCCAAGCACTCAAATATCAAGCTTTCATTCCTGAATCTTTTTGGGGAGATTGTGTGTTCACGGCAGCCTATTTAATCAATCGAATGCCAACTCGAATTTTTGGAGGCCCATTTGAAATGCTTTTTGGAAAACAAACGAGCATTACTCTTCTCAGAGTTTTTGACTGTCTATGTTATGTGACAAATGTGGGCCCTCGGGATAAAATGGACCCTCGTGCTCTTCAATGCATTTTTATGGGATATCCTACCCTGCATAAAGGTTACCGAGTTATGAAGATATCCACAGGTCGTTTTTTTGTCAGCCGAGATGTCGTCTTTCGCGAAGAAATATTTCCTTTCCAAGAAATGACATCCTCATAATGTTAAGCCGACGATAGTTGAATTTGATACGAACTCATCATCATCTAATGAAAATCTACTGATTAAGGATCCATCAGAATATCAATGACTTGTTGGAAAACTGATCTATCTCCCTATGACCAGGCCCGATATATGTTATGTAGTGCAAATATTCAGTAAATTTCTGCATAGCCCGAAGCAGTCCCATATGAATGCAGCACTGAAGATTGTTAAATATTTAAAGGGATGCCAACGACTCGGAATTCTTTTATCACGTGACTGCAACACGAAGATGACAACTTACTATGATATGGATTATGCTACTTGCCCAATGACAAGAAGATCTATTATTGGTTTCCGCATTAAATTGGGAAATTTCTTGATTTCATGGAAGACAAAGAAGTAGTCAATGGTTTCATTATCATGAGCCGAATCAGAATATCGAGCTATGGCAAAGACTATTTACAAAATAGTTTGGATACGAGGATTACTTTCAGATCTCGGTGTACGAGTTGACGGTGCAAGCGAATTATTTTGCCACAATGATGCAGCACTCAAACTAGCAGCAAATCCAATCTTTCATGAAAGAACGAAGCACATAGAAGTTGATTATCACTTCACTCATGAAAAAATTCAAAAAGGGATTGTTATCCCTCGAGGAATTGGAACTGTGGAGTAGCCTGCTGACATTTTCACTAAGCCATTGTGTCAGAGACAACACACGTATCTATTGAGCAAGCTAGGTGTCTTTGACGTATACAAGTTGTCAGCTTGAGGGGGAGTGTTGGAGGAAGGATTTGAATCCTTGATTGATCCTTGATCACGATTATGATTCTATAGACGATACAGTGAAACTTCGACATAGAATATCATGAGAATATTCAGGAGATAAAATAGGAAGACAATATTCTGTACATTCTTTCCAAGTTTTTCTTTGTACCATAAATACACTCATACGTACTATAATAATGGGTCGAATATTGGGCCTAGATAATGGTCCATGTTTGGGCGAATTGGGCTTAGATAATGGGTCAAGATTGGGCTGAATTGGGCATAGAAAATGGGCAGAAGTTTGGGCTGGACATTGGGCCTACATAGGACGCCAAGCTTGGTCCGGACTTTGGGGCCTGTTAGGCCTACAGAACAGGCCGCATATTGGCTAAGATAATGGGCCTAATTTGGCCTAGACTTTGGGTATCTTGGGCCTACATAATGGGCCAATTGGGCCGTGTTAGCAGGCCTATCTTCAGGCCTGTTAGGCCTAGATAGCTGACCCAAGTTGGGCCTGTTTGGCTTTTTGCTGGGCCAAGGTTGGCCTTGTGGATCAGTATAATGAGCCGGACCTCAGGCCTACTAGGCCATCACTTTTGGGCATTGAAAGTGGGCAGAGATTTTGGCCCTCTGGACGTGGGCCGATTTAACAGGCCAGACATTGGACTCAATAATGGGCCTTTGTTGGGCCTTTTCGACCAGTATGATGGTTCCTGACGAGCCCACTCTTAATCGGCTGCATGGGCCCATAAGGGCTGGGCTTCACGTAAGCCACGATGGGTCTTACTGACTTAGATAAATAGGCCGAAACAGACCTATTTTCTTTTTTGTAAGCAGTCTTGTTCGGTTTTTACTCTTTCAAATAATATGACAATTCACTGACTAGAAATTTTATCTTACATCCAAAAGAAACCTTGTCGGGGTCCCAAGTGGAATTTCGACTTTGATTTTGCCTTCATATGATCTTTCGTCGGTGCTGTCATAGTTCCAATACATTCTTCGAATGCTTCACATCTTAATCCCCCACGCTCTTCCCCCAAAATTTTCAGCAAACCAAATTATTATGGACAAGAAAACCAAAGGGATTTTTCACACCTCTATTATTCCCGGACCACTCCGAGAAACGAAACGAACTATATGTTTACTGTTTAATCAAGCTGCGTATAACATATGGTAGAATTCCACCATGATCAAAATATGCCAGCTCTACCTGCAACCAATCAAATCCAAGATACAAACCAAAAAAGCAGGAGTCCTCAGCGAACTCATACCCGTAATATTATTATGGGAATTGATAAACGGAATGGCAATGCAATGAACATAACTAGGAAAAGGCGGCTAACACTTTACCTCGGTATCAAATCGCAGGGTACATATGAACGTTTTCCCGGTGTTGATTGTAACAGTCACATCTTGACCAGGCCCCATCTCACTGACTTTACTAGGAAGGTCTATGGTGTAGCGCTCGTGCCCCGTCAATCCCAAAGTGTCTGCGTCCTCGCCTGGCTCGAAACATAGTGGAATGACCCCCATACCAACCAGATTGCTACGATGTATTCTCTCAAAACTTTTGGCGATCACTGCTTTCACCCCCTAATTAAGCCCATTTTGCTTAGTGACACTGAGCCCGAACGAAAAGGAATATTAGGCAAATTGAATGTGTGTTAAGTTAAATCAAACGTGAACTCACCAGAAGCATTGGACCCTTGGCAGCCCAATCTCGAGAGCTGCCACTTCCATACTCGGCTCCTGCGAGGATAATTGTGTCTTGCCCAACGACCTTGTACATCCGCAAGAAAACGGGCACGTCAGAATTTGAGGGGTGCAAGCATATTAAGCAACGATTCTCAAGACTCATGATGCAATAATCAATATTCAGCCTATCCAACATCCGGATGTCAGCTTCAGAACCTCTTACTGAAAGGAAATACTGACCTGATACTTGCATTTTACGATTCATGCACTATAGCATTTGCTCCATGCAAAAGCAGTCCACTTCATGAGTTTTAGGACATCCCCATCATGATAATATAGTATAGATGAGAATGCCAAATTTAAGTGTACATGCCACGGAGCTGCTAAGAGATCTGGCAGAATGACAACACGGAAGTGGGACCATGTGTCTCAAATTTTATGACTCGCCACAGCTGCATCATACACATAAAGTTTCTCTCCTGAGGGGATATGAATTGTCTTTGGACCCACTTCTCCGTTCAAGAGCTTGTTGAAAAGCCGAATATTGGCAAAAGTTCCACGTGCCATCACTTCATCGTTGCCTCGCCGGCTGCCGTAAGAGTTAAAATCTTTTGGGTCCACTCCGCGTTCCAAGAGATACTCCGCAGGGCTGTCCCTGTGGATACTTCCAGCTGGAGAGATATGATCAGTAGTTATGCTGTCTCCAAAGTTCAGTAGGCAATAGGTATCCTTCACTCCATGAGGACCGGGAGGATCCATGGTCATGTTCTTAAAATATGGAGGTTCGTGAATATAAGTCGAGCTCGGATCCCACGAATATAGGGTAGAGGAAGGTACAGAGAGCTGATTCCACATAGGATTTCCCCTTGGAATAGCCTCATAAGTGGTCTTGAACATGTCCGGCAGTACATTAGCTTGAACAACCTACATCAGATTAAAATGGATGTCTATTGGTCCAACTGTGACAGATGGAAAGCACCAAAGAATCAACCCTGGGAACTCAAAAGGCGATCTACCTGTGCAATTTCCTCATTACTCGGCCAAACATCCTTGAAATATACTTTCTTCCCATCCTTTGATGTTCCAATGGGTTGCTTATCAAAATCAATGTCAACCTAATTGAAAAAGGAGTCAGCGAGTCCCCAGAAGCTATTGAATCGGGAAAACTGACGCAATTCTGAATATATCAGGTCAACAGCTTAGAAGTAAATAAGAATGCGACCAAATGTAAGTAAAAAACATATATTAAGGCTTTCGTGTGGTCATATTGGTATGCTAATGTTTAAAATGAAGGCCCCAATGGAAGTATCCAGCAAGATATAGAGACATCAGGTTAAATTCCAGCAGAGACATCTGCATGCATACCGTGCCCGCAAGTGCATACGCACCTACCAATGGAGGTGAAGCAAGATAGTTAGCTCTCGTCAATGGGTGAACACAGCCTTCAAAATTTCGATTTCCAGAAAGCACAGCTGCAGCAATAATATCTGCAAAATAAACCAAAAAACTAACTTTGGCTGAACCCGAAATATCATGAGAATGATCCACTTCAGATAAATAAGCAAACAGAATCATCAGCAGGTGGACTAAAACTATCAAGATTGACAAATAGATGGCACAATGGAAACAGCATCGGAATAGCCACACACACTCACACACAATCTCAATTTAGTGGGCCAGGTACTCTGGAAAGAGTATGAAATAATTGGTTGAGAAGCATAAGTGAGCAGAACTGTATGATTTATCTCAATGCAAAGCAAGGAAGTCATCAAAGCTTGACACATATATTAAAAGCAAGGTGAACCTTAGGGATTATTTCAAGTCCTGTTTCGTGCTTGTCGCCTATACCCGTCACCTAGCCAGATGGATACACATTGCATTTCCATTAGCATCTCTTTCCATAAAACCAGGAATTCTCAGATGAAACTCTCGCCCATGGAGCAACATTACTTGTTTATCTTATCTATTTCTGCCAAGAAAGGATTTTAATAGGCTATAAAGCTGAAGCTAGAGGTGCCTAAAGGGCTCGTGGCAAGATGGCACAACTTCGTGGATACAATTCTTGCCTGCTGGATCTAAATCTTCTGGGTACTTGAAATGACTCAAGAAGCATTGCTAGAGTTTTCTTTATCCTCCTCATTAGACTAACTCAGACTCTCTGGATGATATGTTTATAGTCGCATATTAATGCCCCTAGATTTACATAACTTAAATATTTCAGACAAAGATAAGCCAGTTTCAAAGCAAGAGGTTACTGTGAGGTTTTAATGCACGTTTTTTTCACACATTGACCGCCTAAGTATTAAAAAAAAGAAACAAGTCAGATGTACCGTTGTCTGCAATTGCAGAGGCAACTGATTCATCGAGTTCTCCTGAGTTTCCAATGCATGTAGTGCAATCATAACCAACTAAATGAAAGCCCTGCTGGTACAGATACTTTTGCAAGCCGCTGCAAAAGCACATGTTGGAACAATACGTAATACGCTCAAATAGCTATTTAATTTTGAGAAGATGCATCTAGCACACCTCTTGAGCAGGTACTTTGTGACAACTCCAGATCCTGGCGCAAGACTTGTTTTAATCCATGGTTTAACCTGATACACGCTTGTTCTTGTTAATCTCCTCTGTAACTAAGTTCCCATTCCAAATCTCAATTTGAGATGCTTAGAGTTAGGCCACCAGAAAAATCAAAAGAGGTCAAAACATTTGAGAATAGAAAACCAACCTCCAAACCAAGTTCACAGGCTTTCTTTGCAACAAGCCCGGCACCAAGCACGACACTAGGGTTTGACGTGTTTGTGCAACTTGTAATTGCTGCAATAACGACACTACCATGCTTAAGCTCTGCAGGTATTCCATGGAATGAAAATGGTACCACTCTATCTCGTGCCTCCTTTGGTACAGCATATCCCTGAAATAATTTAAAGTGGGAGACAAATATGCAAAAGTCACATGAATCAACATTGTGATGCCACAATTGGTTTAGGATAGATAAGATAAAATTTCAGATAACAATGTGTATATATATCAGATGAAAAATCAGCCAAATAGAATTTGCATTAGGAAGCAATCAACTAGCTTCCAGAATACAAGAAATCTAAATAGCTGAACAAACTTAAAGTAATACACATAAGAAAAACCTCCACACAAGGAGAGTTATCATCATAGGAAGCTATCAAGCTAAAGAAAACTTAGAAATGGTAGAAAAATAGAATCGTTCAAGAATGCCCAAGCAAATTTCACAGAGCACTTACCTTGAAGCCAACTTTGTTGTCAAGACAAGAATGCCAATCAGCCTTCATATCTTTCAAAGGAACTCGATCATGAGGCCTTGATGAAGAAATAAAGAAAATCACCATTGGGAACAGCAAATGATTAACGTGCAGTAAAATCAATATTATCCATTACCTTTTTGGTCCTGCAACTGAAGGTTCAACATCTGGCAGGTCCAATTGAAGATAAGATGTGTATGCTCTTTCTTGTTGAGGCTGGAAAATCAAAATAGTAAGCAGATTTGGTACATCCGCACCTTTAGATCACTTTTTTTCAACAAAAGGAAAGGACAATAGTTACCTCATTATAGTCAACCAACGTCTTGTTTGCACGCAAATATGCCTCTATCATGGACACCTAAGAAAAAACAAAAATTACGTGGGAAGACAGGTTTATCTTCCATAGAGAACAAGCACTAAATTTGTAACATAAATCTATATCGAATCAGCTCACCGTTTCATCACTCCGTCCTGTTAACCTCAGGTACTGCAATGTAAGATGATCCAGAGGGAAGAAGCCCATTGTTGCCCCATACTCAGGAGACATGTTAGCAATCGTAGCCCTGTCAGCTAGTGATAACCGCGCCATTCCTTCACCTAAATTAAATAAGAGGCGTACAATTGGTGTGAAAGAAATAAAAATATGGTTGAAAATTCAATTTCCAGAGTTTCCTTTTTAGTAACCCACCATAAAACTCAACAAACTTCCCGACAACACCATGCTTTCTGAGCATCTGGGTTACACTTAAAACTAAGTCAGTGGAGTGACACCGTCACGCAACTGTCCTCTTAACTTGAACCCAACAACGCCAGACAATACCATGCTCATGGGCTGTCAAATACAAAGGAGATTGGATCAGAGGAAGCAACAGTTATCTCTAATCACATAGCACATTATGCTTTCCCTTTGTCCCTACAGGAGTATTACATGCTAATAAAGGTACTTAGGACATTGACAAACTCCAAGAGAGATGAGTTCTCTTTCTTGAGGCTTCTATAATAGGACCTTAACAGAAATAGAGAGGAAATTACAATTTCTTCAAACTGGATTTACTGCACACACATAAAGTGAGTAACTTAAGGTGTCTGGCCATCCTCCTCAAAGTCACTATATTTATCACTGCATTTCACACTCAACATTTAAGAGCATGCCATAGAGCTTGTATCTTATCGAGACTTCAAAAGAAAATATTAATACTCTGGTTCAATCCAATCTGTTAGCATACATCAGTCAAGATGGAACAATGGTGAGGATGAAGGGGTGCGGCCGAGAGAGGAAGCAGAAGTGTCGAAGTCTACCTGTCCAAGCATAGCTGCCTCTGCTTCAATTCCTCCCACTCCCCAACCAGCTACTCCTAACCCATCAATCATAGTTGTATGGGAATCTGTACCGACCACACTATCAGGGTACAGAATGCCATCGCTGTTAAAAACAACCCTTCCATGATATTCTAGATTAACCTGAAAAATTAATCAAGGAAACACCATTTCCACAAGCCAAAATGATTAATGCGCTGCCCAGATTTTTATCCACAAGGTGGCACTGATTTTGGATGGTAATTGTTCCTCACTCTAGCAAACTCTCTGACCTGCAAAATAACTAGAAACATCCCGATGAAAATTAGTGATAGAGATTACTAACAAGTAACGGATAGAAACTCGATCACACATCTCATCCCCATATTATACAATTTGTACATTCACAGTTGCACATAGAGTTAAAACAGATAAATAGATCGTTGCATTTCGTCAAGCCATTATACTTCCAACTTTCCAGAGAAGCAAAGAATTCGCGAGCAATACTCCAACCACAGAAATTCAGTACGCAAGGCGGCGCTGATTTTGGATGGTCATTGCTCCTTCTGAAAAGTTACATAAGAAGGCACTTTGAAAATCTCTTGCACACTTCATATCACGTAGAGATAGAATGGAGATCCATCTTTTCAGCTTAACATTTTCTTTGCAAATATCCAGGTGCAAAACTTTCTTTTCCGCTCGTAAACATTTCAAGAAAACTATTCAACATTTCTACTCAGCTAAAGGAGAAACTATACTACGAAATGATTACACGATAGAATAGAACATATGCCAACAACAATTCAATACTCCAACACTAAATGTGGAGAAGTTGTCGAAGTTCTTCAATCAACACTTGTAGCTTTGGTAGTGTCTGTGGAGGAATTTATTGTCCATGGGTAATTGCCGCATCCACTGTCCTATATCCACTCAATGTCTACTCCAATTTTATGTTCAACTCAATCACCCTGTCTTGGCCAGCCATAATGACTTCTGCTAAACTTTCTCGTAGATTTATCAACTGTGCTTGTGGTGTCGAACTTGAACTACTAGCAATATCTGCAGTAGCAAGTAGACTCTAACTTGCGAAGAAAGAGCTCTTTGCTCCAAATGTAGCAGGAGATGGAAACGGTTGTTGCTCTAGAGCAACTAGTGAACTTTCTCCAAAAGTCGGAGTAAACAGTTGTTGGGGATCAGGCTGCAATCCATGCGTTGGCAGTGTATGTTGGTGCTCTGGAGCCTCTGGAGCAATTGGAACTTCTGGTAGAGCTGCTTCGTATGGAGCAACTTGAACTGTTGTTGCTCTGTAGTAAAAGCCGGAGGGAACACTTGTTGGGGATCAGGCTGCCATGCATGCATAGGCAGTGGCTGTTGGTGCTCTGGAGCAATTAAAAACGGTACCTGTGGGGCCTCTAGAGCAACTAGAACTTTTGGTAGAGCTGCTTCGAGTGGAGCAACTTGAACTTGAACATGTTGAAAAATTTGTTGCTCTTGCGCAAAAGCCGGAGGGAACAGTTATTGGGGATCAGGCTGCCATGCATGCAGAGGCAATGGCTGTTGGTGCTCTGGAGCAACTACAAACGCAACTTCTAGTAGAGCTGCTCTTTGTGGTTCAACTTGAGCTGCTTCATGTCCTGCTTCATCTGGAATTATATGAGGACTCAACGTCGGTATTGTTGTCTTTGCTAGTCATCCAACATTGGGCAATCTATTATTTCTTGCCGCTGTGCCCGCCTCAGCCTAGTCAAGTGCTCTATTATCCGTGCCAAGTGATTCCTTCTTTTTTTGTAACTTTTCTGACTGTTTGGACAATGCCATCTGTCGCTAACGATCACAACTGCACTCAGCACTTTTGCCTTATCATAATTCATTGGGATTGATGACCTACAATCAAAGAGAGCCCAATTAAAATATTGTAAAATGATTTTAATAATAGAGATGGGACTCGGGCCGGGTTCACGCAAGGACCGAGCCCATTAAATACTATACCCTTAGCCAAGTTTTTACCTAAGCCCATAACAAGTCCTAAGCTACAACTAAAATCCAACTCGGGCCGGGAGCACCCTTAGAATAAGCCCGGCTTATGACTAGACTCTTTGACATTGACAACCTAGGCATATGAGCGTGAACGTGAGCACCCATCGCCGGCGCGACTCCGACAGCCACTAGGCTTGCGCCGTCAACCACCAAGTCGGGCCCGTTGCCCACCAAGCCTATTCTGTCGAGCCAACGTTGCCGAACCGCTCGTCACCAACAAAGAACAGATACTTACCTCAAAACTAAGAGAGACAAATGGATGGCCGGCCTGCCCACCAAGCCAGCCCCATCGCCCACCAAGCTGGCTCCATCGCCGGACTGCCCGTCACCAATATGGTGGTCGACGGGCCGGGCTGGTAGTTGGAGTCATGGCCGGTGATAGGTAAACTAGGTTCTGACAAAAAAAAACGATAATGATAGAATTAGGGCATATGAGCGTGAATTGTTAGTGGTCTGCCCTAGGAATCAATCAAGGTTGATACTCTAATATTAGTTGTGGATTAGGTTGTGTCGGACAATCGACCTTCACTATACTTAGGTAGTCATAATGTCTTGCTAGAGACCGCTTATGACTTGTGGGCCAAAAAGAGTTTTGAGCACACTGCTAATGTTTAGTGAACCTACAGGGTCGCACACAAAAGCGAACTGAGTTAATATTTTCTGTATGCTGGGATCTACTTAAAATAAGAAGTAGATTTTAATTTATTCTCCTATTCAACTTATCTACGCGGTCGTGCGCGTTATGAGATAACGATTAAATGTACGATTGAAGGTGGACGATTTGGCAGCCTAAATCACCTGGCCCACTTCTTTTAATTCCGCTGGATAATGAGGCTGTATAAATAGATAGAGAATCGTTCTTTGTCTAGGGTTTTTCGATATAGTATCGAAAATCAAAAGGCGTTGAAGAAAAGAAACTTCAAGATCTTTAGCTAGCACTTGGATCGTTGGAGACTTCTGTTCGTGTGTGTGGATACCGGTAGAGGCGCAACACTTGGGGCGCTAATTCAGACACAATCAATTGTCAATTTACGTTCGATTTGCAAAAGGTACGTATCGAATTTCTGTCTCAAATTTAATATACACATAGATCCTGTCTAGGGTTCTAGGGTTTCGGTTTATAAATATATATTCCGCTGTGTTTTTACCGTTAATGAACCCTACATGAATGTCCTCCGGCCACCAAGGCGACCCGTCGCCCACCAAGCCGGCTCCCTTGGCACCATCGCCGGGGAGGAAACAAAACTCGATCTCCGGCCTAACCGAAATAGAGCAAATTTACAAAAATGCAACAGACATACCACTAGCCTGCGCGACCGACGACTAGCTAAAAATAAACGTGTCTAAGGTTTCACTATCCCTGAGCCGAGACCGTGAGGACTCATCTTTGAAGAGCCAGAGGAAATCGAAATAAAGACAAACGAGAGAATGCCGAAAACCGTCAGGAATGGGGGATTGGAGAGAGGCGTCACGAGAGGGGGGACGTCGGAGAGAGGTTGTCGGATGGTGGTGGTCGGTTGAGGGTCGAGTGAGACCAAAAAGAGGAAGCCCCGAGCTATAGGTGTAGAGAGCAAAACAATAAAAATATGATCTTGGCCCGCCTCGCTTCATTCTCCCTTTACGCCTCCCTATTCTTTTAACGGGTCGAGTGAAACAAAGACTCTCTCTCCTTCCTTTCCTGTTCTTTTGGTAGAGCTGCTCCCTATGGAGCAACTTGAGCTGCTTCCTGTCCTGCTTCATCTGGAATTTGTATGAGGAATCGATGCCGGTATTGGTGTCTTTGCTGGTCATCTAATATTGGGCAATCTATTATTTCTCGTCGCTGTGGCCGCCTCAGCCCTGTTAAGTGCTCTATTATTCGTGCTAAGTGATTCCTGCTTTCTTGTAACTTTTCTAACAGTTTGGACAATGCCATCTGTCGCCAACGACCATAACTACACTCAGCACTTCTGCCTTATCGAAATTCATTGGGATTGATGACCTATAATCAAAGAGAGCCCAATTAAAATATTATAATATGATTTTAACAATAGAGATGGGACTCGGGCCGGGTTCACGCAAGGACCGAGCCCATTAAATAATATACCCTTAGCCTAGTTTTTACTTAAGCCCATAACAAGTCTTAAGTCACAATCAAAACCCAACTCGAGCCGGGAGCACCCTTAGAATAAGCCCGGCTCATGACCAAACTCCCTTTAACATTGATAGCCTAGGCATACGAGCGTGAATGTGAACACCCATCGCCGACGCAACTCCGACGGCCACCAGGCCCGCACTATCGCCTACCAAGCCAACTCCGTCGAGCCGACGTCGCCGAACCACCCGTCACCAGCAAAGATCA